GACAGTGACTCCAGCCCTGCCCTGGGCAGCCTGTTCCAATGCCTGAGCACCCTCTGGGCAAGGAATTGTTCCTCAGCTCCATCTAAACCTCTGCGTGGTGCTGCTGTGGCCTGCAGCAGCATGTGATGGAGTGTGGGACCTAACTCCAGCTCCTCCAATGCTGTGTTTCAGACAAGCTCTCTGTCTCAGAAGGCTCCTTGCTGCTCTCTGCGGATGCCGTCTGGGGAGCTCTCAGAGGTGAGGTGTGCTTTCTGTGGGACATTCCCACTCTCCCTGCCTCAGGCCTATGGGGATGTGTCTGCCTTTGCATTGACTTAGCTGTTAATTGAGCTCTGTTCCTTTGGGGGAATCTGTGCTGAGAAAGGGACTGTGTGTGGTTTTCCTGCAGGCCTGGAAACGTTCAGCCAGCTCATTGGGAGAGACCAGAACGGCACGGTTAGTGCTGGGGCAGTCAGCTCTCCGTAGTGCTCCTGCCTCCGTGGGGCAGGCTGGGGATTTCCTGGAGCAGGGGGGTACCAGCAGCGCAGCCTCACCAGAGCCCAAGCAGAGATTTGTGAACCCAGCCAGATCCTGCCTTGTGAGCGGGTGAAGTGTTGCAGCTCTTCCTGGCTAGCCTGTAGTGTGGGCAGTGAGGGTACCCCTCCTCGTCCCACCAGCCCTGGGGACAGAGGTGACCCTGGTTGTCCCCTGCTAATGGCTGTGTTGCCCAAAGCCTTGCTCACTTCTTGGTGTTCTCTGTGTGCAGTACTACATCAACGAGACAGAAATCGAGGACTTTCCCCGCTTCCCTCACCGGGGACTGTTGCTGGACACCTCTCGTCACTACCTGCCCCTCAGAGCCATCCTGGAGACTCTGGTAGGGTGCCTGTGCTGGGAGGTGAGGTGGTTTAGTTGGGTGCCCCTTCCTCTGCCACGACTGAGCCCTCTGTGAGTGGCTTGGAGGGCTTTTGGGGTTGGTTTTCTGTATGTTGCTCCTTTCCAAAGATCCCGGGAGCTGAAGCCACTGCATCTACAGCACATTGAGGAAGAGCTCATCAAACCTGGGTGTTTTGAACAAAACCAGTTTGCTCGTCCCTAGATGAAGCAGCAGGCTGGGGTGGGATGGCAGGATGACCTCAATTCTTAATACACAGATGTTCATCATGGAAAAATGCTTCCATGCTGCAGGTCCTTCCCAGTGCTGTGTTGGCTGTGGTGTAAAACATGTCTGTGTTTGCTTCTGGAGTAACTCACAGCCACCTTGCTTGGGTGATTTCTCAGCTCCCTTTGTAAATAGGATAAGGCAGACCCTCCTGGCGTATCTTGGATTCCTGCAATCCACGTTACTTTCTGAGGCTGGTTTGTTTCTGAGGGAAGGGAATACAGTGACTTCTTGCCAGCCAGGTCAGACAAAGGTGGATGGTGGTTCTGTGTTCATCCCAGGCAGAATTAAACTTCGACGTCTCCACCAGTGGCTCAGTTACAGGAAGAACAGGGCCCTCTGCAGCTCTTTGTGGTGCTGGCGTGTCTGAAGAAAGGTGTCTGAAAACCCTCTTGGATTCTGGGGCACATTTAGGGACTCTGCCTTGTCCTTTTGGAGCAGAGGGACCTTGTCCCCTTTCTTTGGCAAGCTGGGTGACCTTTCAGAAGGGGCAGGGCATGTTCATGTTTGTCCCTGTTTCTTCCCAGGATGTCATGGCTTACAACAAGTTCAACGTGTTTCACTGGCACATTGTGGACGACCCATCCTTCCCCTACGAGAGCTCAACCTTCCCAGAGCTCAGCAAGCAGGTAACCCACGCTGATCATCACCTGGGGGAGCAGATCCCTCCACCAGCACCTGGGAAGGGTGCTGAGACCCCTGCGTTCCCCCAGGGAGCCTTCAATGCCATGAGCCACGTGTACACAGCTGGTGACGTGCAGGCGGTGATCGAGTGCGCACGGCTGCGCGGCATCAGAGTCATCGTGGAGTTTGACACACCGGGGCACACCCTGTCCTGGGGTCCAGGTGAGGAGCACACCCCACTGCTGCTGCCGCTGCTGCTGCCACTGCTGCTGCTGCTGCTGCCAGGGGAGGTCCACTTGTACCAGGGGCAGGAAGGGAATCTGCAGCCTGCATCCCAAACACAGGCTGTGGGCTGCTGTGTCCCACAGGCTGGCTTTGAGGAGGAGCAAACGATCGTGTGGGAGAAGTAGGACACAATGATCCAACTTCTGGAACAAAAGCCAAAGGGAAAACGTTTCCGTCTCTTCTTGGGGCCAAGCTGGGTGATTTTTTCGGAGAGCACCTGCTCTGCCAAAACCAAGATCATGGTTATTGCCAGGATCTTGGGTTTAACTGGAGTACAGCTGACCAAGCTTCCTCCCTCTGCTCAGCTGCACCCCAGCCCTGACACGCTTCTCTCTGCTCCAAGTGTCTCCTCTTCCATGTCTGGAAGAACAAGAAGCTCCAGGAAAACATTGCCTTGTCTTTCTTTCTCCTTGCCCTGGTTTCAAATGCACCGGAGTACACCCTGTGCAAGTGGTCACAGCCGTAACTGTGGTTGCTCTGTCTGTAGTAGGTGTGTGGAGCTGGGAGAGGGTGCTGGGCACTGCACTGACATTATCTTTCCCCAGCAGCTCAGTGTGTGAGCTCCTGTAGGAATCTCCCAAAAAAAGCATCCCTCCCTGTCAGGTTAGACGTCTCGTGCCAGAGGTTGTGCTGTTGTTTGTGCCTCATGGGCCATGCTCAGGTGTTCCGTGCCCTGGAAGGCCCTTGGCTGTGCTGAGGAGCATCCAGGGGGTTATATGAGGTGATATAGCCACACTTTGGCCCTCTCCTCACTGTCCGGTGTTTATTATGACCCAGGTGCTCCAGGCCTCCTGACTCCCTGCTATTCAGGCAAGCATCCTTCTGGGACCTATGGGCCCATCAACCCAATCCTGAACACAACCTACCAGTTTGTGGCCAGTTTGTTTCAAGAAGTCAGCTCTGTGTTCCCAGACTTCTTTCTTCACCTCGGTGGTGATGAGGTGGACTTCACGTGCTGGTGAGGCTGAGATCAGTCTGGATGGGGCCTGGTGTGGGAAGTATCTGGGACTGGAGTCCCAGTCCACTGCTTTTTGGTCATGATCATCTGCACATCCTTGGTGTCCTGCTCCCCAGGCTGTATGTTAGTTGCTCGGGGTTTCTGTGCTCATGGGGATGCTGGTTGTGGGAAGCCGCTGGTACCAGTGCAGCCACAGCTCTTGGAATGCCTGGGCTAGCCTTGGATGGATGTGGGAAGGACTTGGCCGTGTCTTGGCCTTAGTCCAGAGCTCTGGTTGCAGTGCTTTTATTCTCTTCTCTTTGGTCCACAGGAAATCCAATCCGGAAATCCGTGCCTTCATGAAGCAGATGGGCTTTGGTGAAGATTACAGAAAACTAGAGTCATTCTACATGCAGAGGTAAGGACAGCTGCATCCTGGGCCTGCAGCTGCAGTATGTGACCAGCAGAAATGGCTTCTGCTGCTTTGGGGACACCAGATCTCCTTTGCAGGAGCACATCCATTTCGGAATGTCTCCCTGACCCCAAAGGGAGTAACCTACCTGTATTTTACTGGGAGATTGGCCACACAAAACCTGGGGCTGATGAGGAAGAAGCCCCGTAAGGGGATGTGCTTTCTTCCTTCTCTTTCAGAAGTACCTTCATGTCTTGGTGTTGGGAATATTGATGATGCTGCTTCAGCTGTATGGAACCAGCAGAGAGTGTAGGTGGGATGACCCAAAACTTGGTTCTCTTTCCATTTCAGGCTCTTGGACATTGTCTCTTCCCTTGGCAAAGGTTCTATCCTGTGGCAGGAGGTGTTTGACAACGGAGTGAAGGTGGGAGCTGCCTGCTTTCCCTAAGGCAGTTGCCTGTGGCATGATGAGCAGTGTCAGCACCCCAGCCAGACACACTGGGGTGCTGTGCTGGGGCTGGCAGGTGGTGGCTCTGTCACTCTGGTGTCTGTCTCAACCCTGCCCAGGACACTGTGCAAATGGGTTTATCCCTCTCTCTGGTGCTTCTGCAAAACAAGATGGGAAGTGGCTCGAAGGTCAAGCCAGAGTCTGCCTCAGTTTCCCTTTGGGGGTGTTTGGAGCTGTGAATGGTCTGCTGGCAGGGGGACATGGTGCTCTTGTTGCTGCACTGATCCCATGTGTGGTATTCATGTGTCCTCTTCAGCTGAGGCCAGACTCCATCATCCATGTGTGGAAGACCTCCAAGCCGTACATGGAGGAGATGGCAGATGTCACCAAGGCTGGCTACCAAGCTCTGCTCTCTGCCCCCTGGTACCTCAACCGCATCTCCTATGGGCAGGACTGGATGGCAGCCTACCAGGTGGAGCCCTTGAAGTTCAAAGGTGTGTTCCTTATGCCACCTTCCCATGTGGCAGCTGACTTGTCACTCAGAGGTAGCACCAGGGCTGCCTGTCTTGCTAACCTGTTGTTGCTGCTGGTGAGAAGGTGCTTGAGTGACCATGTCCCTTGTTCCTGTGCTATGTCCCGTTCCCTTGCTGCCAGCAGAGAACATCTCTGCTCTCCCCAGCCTGGGGTTTGAAGTGGGGGCTTTCAGACAGACAAGTTATTGCCTCCTTGGCTGAGCCAAGGGCCTGCTGCAGGCACCTTTGTGGGCAGGGTGTTCTCTTACAACACCCCATCACCTGAATGCTGTGTCCTCTGGCAGGCAGTGCTAAGCAGAAGGCTCTGGTGATCGGTGGAGAGGCCTGCATGTGGGGCGAATACGTGGATGTTACTAACCTGACCCCCAGGCTCTGGTAAGAGAAGCAATGGGGAGGTTGGCTGGAGTCACAGGGACAGGGCTTGGGCCCCTTTCCTTTACCACTGAGCAATGTGTGCCAAACGCTGTGGGTTTGCTCTGTGCATGGTGCTTGTCCTCGTCCCCTGGCAAGACGTCTGTGCTAGTAACAGCTTCACTGAGGCTTCAATGAGGATTTGTAAGACTGTAACGTGCTGCTGTGTACCACCACGGTGCATTTTACACCACTCTGTCCTTCGTCCCTGGTCCACTCCTGATCTGCATGTGTCTGGGAGTGGATCTTTTGATACCCAGAACCCATGTGATGCAGGATGTCGGTCAGGAAAGTGCTGGGGAGCTCAGAGCTTTGTGTGGGAAGCGTTTGAACTCCCCCTGACCTGCTGCCTCTGTCCTTCACTCCTCACGGCCAAGAGCTGGGGCTGTAGCCGAGAGACTGTGGAGCAACGCGAGCGTGAGGAACCTCCAGGAGGCCTACGTGCCAGCTCCGGGGGTAACGTCCTCCACACAGCAACACGAGCCGTGGGATAGGGCACCCCGCTGGCTTCAGCCCTTTGGGAGGGTGGTGAGGGCGAGGTGGGCTTTCCTTGGTGCAGAATGCACCTTGTTCTGATGGAGAGCCCCAGGTTTTTCTCTGCCTGTGCGTAGGCAGAGCTGCTTTGTGCAGTGCTGGAAGAGAAACCCTGCTGCTGGCGTGGGCTGGCAGCTCTGTCGAGGAGAGGGCTTCGTGCTGAGGAAGGGGGACGTGTCAGCTATTGCCACCTCTCCTGCAGCATCAGCTTCCCCAGGAAACCTGCCCTTAAGCCTGCTCCCACACATGAGCAGAAAAGTCTGTAAGCACAGGATGAAAACTGCTCCCTCCTTGTCACACCTGAGACGGGCACCGATGGCCACCCTGTGACCACTCAGACCTGACTGTGGGTTCTGCTTGTGTCTTCTGGGTAATCATAGAATCCCAGACTGGTTTGTGTTGGAAGTGACTTTAAAGCTCATCAGTTCCAACCCCCCGCCACGG